GAAGAAAGACGGCTTCATAACAGAAGTACATACCATAGTACTACAAACAGGGGTTCAGACCAAAATGAGCTATTTTACTGCTTTATCAATTATTTAAACTATAAACTGAAGACACTGATTATTTCTTTATTAAAGGCCAAATTAAATATTTGAAAAACTAGTTCTTTCTCATGGGATCTTAGAAAAAAATTAACTTTCACTTGTTTTAGTATTATGAATTACAATGAAATTTATTTTAAAAAAATGATTTACCATGTAGCTTTGCTTGATATGAATAAGAAAATCAGGTTGAAAATAACCCAGCACCTACCAAGTGTGCATCAGCTGTTGTTGACTCATTCCTCCAAGAATGCTCTGGAGGTCCTGTTCACCTTCAATTTTCATAAAGGTGGAGAAATAATTTATCAAAGCTCATTGAGTGATGCTCTAAACAAATGCTCAAGCCAGCCATAATTACAAAAGCTGTTCTAATTTTGTTAATTCATTTTACAAGTCAGCTCATTAATTGGGTTCCTATCATTCTATTTGTGCGTATGTTTTACAATTTGTTACATAAGAGCTTTGGTGACTTATGTAGCAAATTTAATTTTAATTCATGCGTTCAAGGTGGGTCTTCATAGGACTTTTTTATAAAGGTGTTTGTGCTGCCTTTAATGACCCTCACCCCTGGCCAATGCATTACAAAATCAGAACAGGTCTCTCTACCATTCTTCGGTTTTAAGCTTTTTTTTTTTTTTAAATTTAATATTGCATGTTAGCCATCAGGTGATTTATAAATTGAAAAATGGTAGATGACTTCAAATTTATGCTTTATTTTAATCTTTAATGACCCTCACCCCTGGCCAATGCATTACAAAATCAGAACAGGTCTCTCTACCATTCTTCGGTTTTAAGCTTTTTTTTTTTTTTTAAATTTAATATTGCATGTTAGCCATCAGGTGATTTATAAATTGAAAAATGGTAGATGACATCAAATTTATGCTTTATTTTAAATTCCTCAAATGACACCACCCCCCCCCCACCCCCAATGCACAATTAAAGTTACTATTTGAATTGATTCTAAGTGTGCTGTCATATATCTTCTGGACATTAAATGAAGATGCATTCAAAAAAAAATTGTATAGATTAAATCAGTTAATGTGAGAAAATCAAATGAAAAATAGGAACAACAAAAATACAGTCACTAAACAGTTATTCAGCTAAAATAAGTGACTTATGAAACTGTTTTTAAAAAAAATAAGGTTGGGAAAACTCACAAAGGTTTCAAAAGGTGCCCCCCCCCCCTACTTCCTCCACCTCAAGATGATCCAAGAGTTGGTAGATTGTTGAGAAAGTCATTCACTTCCTTACAGTTCTCTTCATGTTTGTCTGTTTTTGATTCCTAAATATATGTTATGAATTCATTTATAAATGAAATATAATTATGCATTAGACTATTTGTAAGGTATGATTTAATTAATCAGGAAAAAATCTTCCAGAATACATTGTTCATCATTAAACAAATTTTTGTTTCAAGTTTCATTTCTTCTTCTGGCACAAATATATATTTTAGGCTTTGTAAATTAACTTGAACATCTCCAAGTGGCAACAATGTTTACATGACATGAATAAATCGGACTTGAGAAACTGTTCCTACCTGAAGCCAAAAAAAAAAGAATTTCCTGGAGGATGACTTGAATTTGAGGACCAAAACTCTGCCAGTAGTGCACTGACTCACATTTTTAAACTTTATATCATCAGGAAATATGATCAGATCCTGCATGTCAAACAAACAAATTACACTGAAATGCAACCCCTTTTTCTTTGTGTGTGGATATTTTGTGGAAAAACAATCCTTAGCCTATCTAATTTATTTGTTTAAAACACCGGTACCCTGAATGTTCCCTAAAGCCAAACAAATATGATTATAAAATTGTAGCACTTGATCCATATATTTTTCTTGAAGTTTTTAAGCTTAACAATTGAATAATTTCTAAAATTAATATTTTGCAAAATGATAATTCAATTTGATTTTTTTTTTTTCACACCTTTATTTAATTGGACAAATACCTGAATTAAAAAAAAAAGTTAGCTCTAATATTATACAAAAAAAAAAAAAAACAAAAAGTTAAATTAAAAAAAAAATGGAGTTACTAAATCAAAACCCATTAATCTGTAGTTTTATGATATTTTCCGGTTTGATTTTGGTCTAATAAAAGTACCTAGTATTATATTTCTATAGTTCTCATAATGGCTTCTACATGGAAGAATCTACGGTTCATCTTCTTTATAAATAGCCCAAAACTAAGCATTTTTTATTAGATAAATAATGAAAGTAGATATCCCCAGTTCATCACAGACGTTCAATCATCATCTAATAAAGAAACATTGAAAGCCAATAATAAAACCAATAGGTCTAATCTGCTTGAAGGCTGGTGATGGATGGACCCAGAAGCACCCTGCCCTAAGCATATTAATAAGTCACAGAATAAGTGATGGGTAGACCATGAAAGACTAAGTAAGGATGCATGTAGCCCTAGCGGCTTATTAAAAAAAAAATGATGAATAGGTCCAGTTGTAGTTTTTGAGCTTTAAATGTTTCGAAATGCAAAAGGTTTGTCCTTTTCTCTACTGTCTACTTTATGTACCAATAGTATGACCTGGGCCGCCTTATTTTGTGACCCTATTCTCTTGTTTTTTTGTTTTTTTTACAAAGGCCTACTGTTGCTTTATTAGAAATTAATTGTTAAATGATGCTTTTGGGGTAATCTTGCAGTTCAGGTGCGTATATTATTTCTGATCGAATTTCATTGAGTTTTACACAGAGATCAGGTTTTTCTGGGTCATGTTGTGTAACAAATACGACAAAAAGGATAAAATTACAACTGATTATATTTGTCATCAGCCAAAAGGTTATGTACAGGTGTTGCATTTGCTACATTTTAAAGAAAATACTTGTAAAAAAGAAAATTCTTGAACAATATTTTTTTTTATTATTTACAATTTACAAGAAAAAAATCACATGCAAGAATGTAAATAACTACTAACAGTAAGTAAAGTAAAGACATCATGTACAATAATGAAACCTTATGTACAATAATGACACATCATGTACAATAAAGGGCATATAATGAACAACAAGTAAAACTAATGTACAGTTTGGTCACATCTCCAATAATAACAAATCTCAGCAACAAATTACGTCGGCTCACAGCTTCTTTTATTTATAATAAGCCACTGGCTGATCGAGTCTTGCCTTGATAGCCCACATCCCCCTCCCCCCGCGCAGAACATAGGCCATTTATAATACGTGTCTATTATTCTCTGTTCTGGTTATCTTTCCATCTTGTGTCACCTCTCTCCATCATTATTTCAATTTCCTTTCTCTGTGTGATAATTTCCCTTTTGTCTACTTGTGACTTCAGCTCTTGGTAAAGTTAAGGTCAGCATTTTCATTGAAAACATCCATTCCTGGTGGCAAGTACAAAACATCTATTCCTGATGGCAAGTACAAAACATCTATTCCTGGTTGCAAGAACACCAATAGAGCACCACTTACAATACTGTTGACGCCTCATTTTCATATTATACTCAAAGTTCCAAATTGCTCATCCAGCAACTTCTAATAGTCCAGGATAAGACATTAGCTACAAAACTTCTAATAGTTCAACATAAGACAGCTACAAAGCTTCTTAAAGTTCAATATAAGACATTAGATACAAAACTTCTAATAGTTCAACATAAAAGAAATATTAGATACAAAGCTTCTAATAGTTCAACATAAAAGATATATTGGATACAAATACTAAGATGTACCTTCTACCTATGCATGTGTCATTGATATCATTGAGCGAGGTAAATATATTCAATCCCTTTGACAAGGTGTGGGTGCCTAAAGAAGACCATTGATCCCAGGCCTCATTGCCCCAGGTAAGACCATTGGTCCCAGGCCTCATTTCCCCAGGTAAGACCATTGGTCCCAGGCCTCATTGCCCCCAAGAAGACCATTGGTCCCAGGGCTCATTGCCCCAGGTAAGACCATTGGTCCCAGGCCTCTTTGCCCCAGGTAAGACCGTTGGTCCCAAGCCTCATTGCCCCCAAGAAGACCATTGGTCCCAGGCCTCATTTCCCCAGGTAAGACCATTGGTCCCAGGCCTTATTGCCCCAGGTTAGGCCATTGCCCCAGGCCTCATTGCCCAGGTTGGGCCATTGGTCCCAGGCCTCATTGCCCCAGATAAGATCATTGGTCCCAGGCCTCATTGCCCCAGGGGTTTTTAATAAAATGGAGAGGACCTGATCTCTTGACCTCTGCAAGTATTTTTTAAAAGGTTCTGAAAATGATTGACCGTTTCCTTTTTTTAAAAAAATTTTACAGAGCAATCTAATTAAAAATGTATTCACTCTACCGTAGCATTATCTCTTTCTCTGTTGGTGGGCACAGGAACAGGGTCTGAGCCTTGTTCACCAGTGATTGGATGGTCAGCTGAGAGGGTTGGCTGATGTGCATCAGGGACGGCCGTCGTGCTTGTTGAATGAGCAGAGAGGGGTGGTGTTTGAACAGATGTCACGGTAACAAGCGGAGGGGAGTCTTGTCCAACCACCGGCTGGCTGTTGTCCACCACTGGCTGCGGTGGTTTGTTTGTGTCAGGTGGCGGTGTTTGAGAATCAGGTACCCTGCTGCTAAGCTCTCTGTTAGCTGTGTTCACTGAGCCGGAGTCACTGGCACGAGATGCTGTGTTAGAAGAGTCCGAGTTAGACGAGGTTGTTGATACAGACACTAACATGGAATCAAATGGATTGTTTGATGTGCTAACGGCATTGTTTGGTGTGCTAACACAATTGTTTGATGTGGTAATGCTATCAAATGTCGGGATAGTATCAGTAGGTTCTTTTACAGAAACTTCTGGACTGGGTTGCAGATTTTGTTCAGGAACTAAATTTTGTGCTACAGCCGCTGGCCTTGAAGTACCATCCCCATCTGATCTTGATCCACTACCACCATCCTGCATTGAAGTACTACCAACATCCAACACTGCACTACTACCATTATCTGGTCTTAAAGCACCACCACCATCTGGCCTTGAAGCACTATCCCCATCTGATCTTGAAGCACTACCATCCTCCGACAGTAAAGTACTACCACTATCTGGTAGTGAAATGCTAACACTATCTGGCTTTGCAGCACCACCATGTTTTGGTTCAATGGTCAATTCTGAAACTTGTGCGTCTAATGTCGAATCTTGCTGGTGAATGCTTGAAGCAAAACTTTTGGCTATGCTGCCATTATCATTTCTCAAAACCAAATCTCCCATTGACATAATTGGAACCCTGCTTGTTACAACATCATTGATTCCCGTTCTTGGCGGGGATTCTGATTTGCCACTAGGAGAAGACCACCCTGGTTTTGAAAGTGAAGCCTTTGGACCAGGTGACTTGAAATTGAGAAGTCTGGAGCGTCCAGGAGGTGTGCCCGGCGAGCCTTTCCGCCTGGCTTCTCTCTCCGCAACCCTTTGCAGCTGTTGTTTGCGTAATGAATCCATGATGTTATCCATTTTGGCAACACGCTTCTCGGGACGAGGGGTACGGCCCAAACCTCCTGCAATTCACAATGTTTATGTGATGATTAATTGTTCACATTATAAAAACAATGAATTTGTAGACAACAGTGACTTATTTGGGTCATTTATTGAAATTTTTAGTCTCTTATGTTACAAGATCATTGATAACTTTACTGAAGAAGCAAACAAAAAAGGGATAAGTTCTTTATGGGTGAACTATTTTCATATGAATATCTTTTAAAGCAACTTTTTTCCTTGGATACATGGGACTAATTAAAACAACAACTAAATTTTCACGGGGAAAAGAGTGGATGAAATAACTAACATTCCTTTTATGTAGCATAAATTCCCCATGCTTGAATTTTACTTGACCTAAATTAGAATCCTAGCAGACAGTCACGTCTGTTGTTGGCGTGGCCTATTCGTTTGATGTATCTTGTTTACAACCCTGTTTACCAATAATTAAACATGTTAGACTGTCTTCCTGGTATTTTCTCGAATGTGCTCGACAACCCAAGAAATGTAAACAACACGTCATAAGTCTTCTCTGGAAGGCAGGGCTTACGCGACCTATATAAGGGATTGACAGGCACGGGCGGAGAGACGGAGATTACGATAGGTTTTATGAACTACACGAGACGTGTTCCTTGTGTTCTTATATATGTGTTTATTTCGCATTTCATCATTATTAATTGGCACATTATTCTGTGTTAACTGTGTACCGGTACAAGATCTACCATACTGTAAGTTGATGATTTGTAATGATATTTTTTTTCTTTTGTAATTACATTTATACTTATTAAATCTTATTAATTGTAACTAGAAACTGTTTTGGGTGTCGTATCTTTAATATTGTTGACTCTATGGTATCGTCCTTTGTTAGGCACTGCTTACAACGAGCCAATTAAAATAGGAGATTAATTTCTCATATTAGAAGCCAGTGCGTAACAATTCCCAACAGTTACCTGATGTTGCCCTGGGTGTCAGCTTAGCTTTCACATCTGACTGGAATTCATCAAAATCAAAGGCGCTCATCTCAGGGGCTCTGGGTAAAGGACAAGAACAACATAACGACTGTCAACAAAAACAACATGGCAGATACCAAACAATTCTAAAGGAAATATACTTCTTACAATTAAGACAGTTGATGAAAGGTCTACAATAACATTTCAACCATGCCAATAAGTGAGTGCATCTAAAAGTGGTATTAAACTTGAAAACTCCCCCCCACCCCCCCCCCCCCCCCCCTGTCAATTCATTCAAATTCACTGCCAAAAATGAACGCCCCAACCTAAAGCAGACACATTTGACCCACCTATCCAGATAATCCTTCCTATCCAGTTAACCCACCTTATCCAGATAAGCCAACATAAACAGATCACCCACCCTATCCAGATAAAACACCCAATACAGATGACCCACCTTATCCAGATGACCCACTTTTAACAGATATCCCAACCTATCCAGATGACCATCCTATTCAGATTATTCCTGCTTTCCAGATAAAACACCATAACAAGATAACCACCCTATCCAGATACAAGTGACACTCCCTATCCAATATATATGACTCATCTTATACAGATGACCCACCCTATCCAGATGACCCACCATATCCATATACAGATGACCCCCCCCATATAGATGACCCACCCTATCCAGAAGATCCACCCAATCTAGTCTCACAAACTTCAATACGCAGTACCTCAGCTCTTCTTCCTTTGAGTCCTCTCCATCTACATCCATTCCATCACCTGCCTGGTCGTCTTGCTGGTCCTGCTTTTCTGGTGGCTTTCGTCCAGGACACACCCACTTGAGGGGAATGGGGCCGCCATTGCACTGCTCCAGCTTTTCAACAACGGCCAGAATATCTTCAGGTTTAGGTTCCCACAGTCCTGAAAGTTATAATGACACACTGCATCTGCTTCACTAAACAGTTCAGGTATATAAATATAGCACACACGCCCTTAGATGCTGCATTGCAGACAGTTTCACACAAATATCTCTTATAATTTTTCTGGCAGTTTCTGACGCAGCTCAGTGTAATTAACATTTATAAAATATTTTTAAAAAGCAGAACATAGAATAGCCGGGTATGTCAACCAATGGCTGGTATTATTTGACTAAGTATCTAGATTGCCTTGCCCGTGCATGCCTAAATTTGCAGAGAGTATCAACAAACCTGACCTACTTCCACCTTCAACAAAATCACCCTTAACAACAGAAAAACTGGGATGTCTGCGAATAGTGCTTTTTAAAATATTTTTACATCTTTTTACAAAGGAGGAGAATTAAAATGAACTTTTGTTGAGTGACCATTCTTAATACCTACAGCTAAGAAAGATAACACAATTTAAAAAATGCAAAATTCATGCAAATTTGTGTTCCGTAGGGTGTACCATAAAATTCATATTTCTAAATGGGTATTGTAAAAAAAAGTTATAGTGAATTTTATTTATTTTACGAAAATCGAATCTTTAACTTAAGTATTGTTATTACAAATTTGAAATAAATTAAATATAATAAATAACTATGTTAAGTATTTATCTGAATGTTAGAGCTAAGATATTGTATATAAGGAGATTGACAAATTAACTATCATCTATGTATTTCTATTATTTATATGAAAACAATTTCAATTTTTATAAGTAAAATCTTATGCTATGCATTGTACCATATTCTGTTTAAACATTTCAAGGGTGAGAAAATTTGGGGGGTGGTGGCATTTTGAATAGTTTTTTTTTGTTCTTTGGTGACATCATTTCCGTCATAAAAATATCTCAAAACCTAAAAACTTTACTACAGACTGAAATATTTTTATATTGATTATAGATAGTTTAAAATAAAGTTATGAACTATGTGTTTGACAATTTTCTGTCTTTTAAATTTCAAGGGAGAAGAAAATTGGGAAAGGAGGAGGGGTGGGGTGGGGTGGGTCAACTTTGGTATGGATTTTGATTTAAGTATACATAAGCATATTCTTTAAATATAAACAAATATACATTGAACTACCAGACTTACATTCCATTTAAGTGCTTTATATTTATTACATATATATATATATATATTATATATATATATATATATATATATATGGTATATACATATATATATATTTAATATATATCAAGTTTTACATAGTTTAAGTGCTTGACCACATTTTGAATCTGAGCTTTGATTAGTGTTGAGCCATGTCTTTTTAAACTTTGCTAAGTTACCTTTTTCATTGCTTTGGTTAAACTTTGCTTCATTAGGTTCTTCTATTCTCCATACCCCTGACTGAAATTGCATTCCTTCCATTTCTGTGTTCGCTGGATGTGTCCCCTGTATAAGTTAAAAAAGAGACAAATTAAATAATATGCCAGCTGAAATTGAATACTAAGATATTCTTCCTTGTTTAGGAGTAATCTCTGTTGATTTGTTTATTAATGCAGATGCAACTTCATAACTTCTTAATATTACTTTTTTTTATCATTCCATTGTATGACACAGTGATTGAATACTCTCTACTGATATTACATTAGCAGAGTGAGGGTGACCAGTCACAAATTCACAAGTAGTAGTATACTAGTAAGGGTCGTGGTCAAGATTAATAATATTTTTTATAAATTGTCCATTACTAAGAAAAAAAAATGTTCCCAATCCCTGACTTAAAACATCGGTTTCTACCAACATAGACATATATGAAAATCCCCCAAGATGAGAAAATAAGGAATTGTACTTAAACTTGTTATTGAAGATTTTAGCGTCATTACCAGTAGAGCACCATAAGTTAAATACTAGTATTACATAAGAGACAATAATAAACCAGAATCTTCTAACGGCTTGTTATCAAAGAGATTTTAAAGTGCTAGATACCCTTGTCCCTATTAAAGTTTCTATGTTTGATAATTAATTGCAGTATGGCTCATATCATGTATCACTGCGCAAATAGACCTACACAATCAGGGATCAAGACATGGGGGAAAACATGTGAGAACTCACCCAAGATCTTTTGGTAAAATATCGCTTGGGCAAATTTAGTTATTAAAAATATTTTCTCTATTGTTTTAGTGAATTTATTTATAAATAACCAATAATGTTTAAGATACAAAGCTCAAATTTGGTGTATATATCAGTTTCAACGTAATAAATCAAATTTTGTGTTTATAGTGATTCTCAAATGCCAGTAACTTTCCTTTGAGTAGTTTAAGATCCCATGCTGAATGTAATTGTTGTAATAACGTGTGTAATATTATGATAGTGTGGTGATTTTATTTCATATATATTTATTAATTACCGTATTTATTGGCGTACAACACACACTTTTTCTCCCTGAATGATATAATGTTTCGTTTTTTTTCCTGAAATTTCCTTCTTAAATTGAGGTGCATGTTTTTGTGAAAAAATTTAATTATTTTAAGGTGCAAGATACATGAATATTTATTAATTATTGCTAATGTTACATTCCAAAAGTTTCAATTGTCAATAGTGAATAGTGACAGTCAATGTGTGATGAAAGTGTCTATATTTTTTTTTCTGTGATGAAAGGTATAAAATTAGACAAAATAGACTGAAGTCAGTTCTGGATGGCCCTTAAGGCTTCAAGTACGTTTAAAATTATGCAAAAATAATTAAATTCACTGAAACAATATTTTACAAATCCCCCCCCCACCCCCGCCGAAATAAATATGTATAGGCCTATTGTGTAGCCAAATCAAAAAGAAAAAGTTCATTTTAGTGTTTACAGGAACACTGTAATTGTAAGCATGCAGTTCTGCAGAACTTGAGAATTGTGCACCACCAAAATACAGTGTAATACTTTTGTATACACTATAAGCTTAAGTGAATTAGATGACAAAACTGACAGGAGTATAAGTATAATAATTTTACAACTACAGGCACAGGTCAGGCCAAAGACCATATTTTTGCTACATGTACTTGTACTGCTGTGGACCATGGACACTGGTGAGTGTGGTATATGATATGACTGATATGTAGCCCAAAGCCTATTGTTTTGCTGTATCTACCATCAGTGTATGTAGTACTAGCTTAAAAATTTAAGTTACCATATTTCCAGGGAAATAGAACGCAGTGTTGTATAATTATAATATAAAGATGCACCACTACAACCCCACCTTTTTTTTAATAAAATTACCCAAATTTAATGAAAAAAATGTCTACATTACCGGGGTGCATAAGTGTAAGACGTATTTTAGAAGTATTTTGACAGGGAAAAAAGTGTCTTCGGTAGAGCCGTGTCTCCTTTACGTCGACAAATACAAATATATTTTTATTAAAATGAGGCATTAAGGTAATTACAATTGACATGAGTAAACGTTTAATTTTAATTTAAAACTTCCCATCGTCGTATTAAGGAAAAGTTAACTCTCGTAAAAACAACAAGGGAGGGTGAATCCAAAATAGAAACTTAATGTAAAGACCAGAATGACGTCTTGGCGCGAACTGTTTGTTTTAGAATGCACACCCTTAAATAGCAATTTTTAAAAACATTTTTATCTAGGTAAAAATTAATAGAATATGCAACATTTAAAATTTAATAATAACCATTTAAAGTATGATGATATTATGCAACTGTCCACCTTATCATAATTATAGGGTAATGTGCTAAACGAAATTTTCAAACTGTAGGCATAATCACAGTAAGGATAAAATACTGTGGGGAAAAGGGGGAGGGGTTGTAACTTAATTATATTTTCTGTTTTGTGATAGGGGCCCAAAATTTATTTTTCTTATTTGAGATGTATAAATATAATTCCAAACCAAGGCTCCTGCATGGGTGAAGGGATCTAGATCAAACCTTTGCACATACACTTCATTTTCCATATTCAAATACCTGTACAGAAGACTAATGAATAATGAACTGATAATTTTTATGTGAACATTTTTTGTCCCTTTAGCTAACATCTAACATCTAAAAAAAACACATGAATATATATATATATATTTTAAATTTTCTCCCCTAAGCATTAATGAAATAATCCGAGTGGGATCCCTACCCAGTTGTGAACCCATTTTCCAGTATGGGATTCCATTGCCGGTGAGATCCTGATACAATAGAATCCCGTTTCCTGATGGGATCCCATACCCGTTAGGATCATAGACATAGAGATATATTTATAGCTCTGTGGTTAGGATCCTGTCCTCGGTGGGATCTCTGTTACCAGGCGGATCCCGTTCTCCGATGGGATCTCGTTCCCCAATGTTATCCATTTCCCGGTTTGATCCCGTTACCGGTGGGATCAAGTACCCTGTTGGATCCCATTCCCTTTGTGGCATCTTGTTCCTTGGTGGGATCCCGTTCTATGTGTGATCCCTTTCAGGTTGTGAACTATTCTCTGTTGTGATACTGTTACCAGATTGGATCACGTTTTCTCAGTTGGATCCCGTTACCCGTTAGGATTCTGTTCCTCAGTGAACGGTTTTGGTCAACTTTGGCTAAGATCCATCAATACACGTTGTAGTGCATACCGTATTCTAATCCTTGAACTTCATTTATGTACAGGGTGGCCCAGAAAAGTGAGAAAAATCGTGTAACAAAGGATTATATTATAATTGAATTATTATGATGTTTTGTCATTGACAGTTGTATGAAAATTATTACGCCAATCAGAAGACAATTTAATTTTGCCCCCCCCCCCCTTTTTCAACTTTTCCTGCTTCTCAACGACGTTTGTAAGCATTGGTCATTGGCGCTTCGTGTATGCTTCTGACGATAAAGGATAACTATCGCATTTTTGGGGTCACCCTGTATAGGGCCTACTGTATATATCTTAGGCCATAACACATGTAATGGCCAATTAATTTGGAACTTTCTAGAAACTTCAAAAAATATCCTTAATTCTTATTCCATAAAAGCACAATAAACAAGATAGATAAGGGCATTAACAAATATTTAAAAGATAAAGAAAAAATTGAAGCTTCTAGAATAATCTAGCAACTTCATGCAACACATATAAAAGATGACTCAGTGATACTTAGAAAATCCCCAGGCAAATATAAAATGAATAGAATTAAATTAACATTTCAATAAGCTTTAGATACCATTATATAGTCTATCCCTATGGAATAATATAGAACTTTCTGGAACATTCTAGAATAAATTTAATAACCTCCTCGAAACTTATAATAAATGGCTCTTCCACTTAATTATTTTTCGAAAACCCCGATAAGAAAATTTCTAAAACTAAACAATATAACTATAACCATTCTTCTTTTAAGTAAAAAGAGGGGCCCTATTTTACTTATGCCCGAGACAGGGGGCCCTATAAAATTCACTCAGATACATAATCGAGTTCAAATGTAAAAATTGTCCCATTAAAATCGGTTTAAAAATTTCATAGATGTAGCTTTTTAAATTATCGAACCTTCTGTAAAATTCTAGACGCCCCTAATAAAATGTATTAACTGTAACCAGTTTTTATTTTAAGCTTAAAGAGTTACAGTTAATGCATTTTATTTTGCTGAAAAAGTGTGTGGAGCGAACTTGAACCCATTGCTTTGAATTTGTGCATAGAAGTGAAACTCTCAGGAACTCGAAATGAAGCGAAACGCAAAAGAAAAGGGTTCCATGATAAATTTTACCCTGAAAATAGCAGATTTGTTTAAGCAAGATGAATTGGAGATCACTTCTTACACGCTTTGAAGTTTCTAGACTTTCTACAAGCTTCGATTTACTTTCCACATTTACCAGCCGACAACAAAACTCATTACGCTAACTCATTCGTGATACCCTTCTCACAAACACCGCCCCTGATGTCCATTTGGTTTCCCAGGCTGTGTCTTCCCTGTATTAACATATACCATCATGAAACGTCAGAGTCGACTCCCCCCTCACCTATTTTACTGTTGCCCACTACCTAGCCTAGGGCCATCGTTCCCAGCTGCAGCCCTGGACTTGTGTGACAGTACCCGGTGATGATTTTTTTTTTTTTTTTTAAGGCAGACGAACAGCAAACAAAACACATGAAAGGGAAACAAGTCTACAAGTCAATATTTACCTTTGAAAATAAAAAAAAAATTCGTTGNTCACCTATTTTACTGTTGCCCACTACCTAGCCTAGGGCCATCGTTCCCAGCTGCAGCCCTGGACTTGTGTGACCGTACCCGGTGATGATTTTTTTTTTTTTTTTTAAGGCAGACGAACAGCAAACAAAACACATGAAAGGGAAACAAGTCTACAAGTCAATATTTAACTGTGAAAATAAAAAAAAAATTCGTTGAGAATTAATATGAGCTGCTGCATATTGGTTTAAATTTTTAATTATAGATGTGATCCTGTTCTGTCCCTGTTGAGATCTCGCTACTTTTGTGATCCTGTCCCTGTTGAGATCTCGCTACATTTGTGATCCTGTCCCTGTTGAGATCTCGCTACATTTGTGATCCTGTCCCTAGCTGTTGAGATATCGCTACCAAAGCAATCCTGTCCCCGGTGAGATCTCGCTACTCTCGGATCCTGTTCACGGTGAGATCTCGCTACTTTTGGGATCCTGTCCCTGGTGAGATCTCGCTACTTTTGTGATCCTGTCCCTGGTGAGATCGCGTTACTTTTGTGATCCTGTCCCTGGTGAGATCTCACTACTTTTGTGATCCTGTCCCTGGTGAGATCGCGTTACTTTTGTGATCCTGTCCCTGGTGAGATCTCGCTACTTTTGTGATCCTGTCCCTGGTGAGATCTCGCTACTTTTGTGATCCTGTCCCTGGTGAGATCTCGCTACTTTTGTGATCCTGTCCCTGGTGAGATC